CGTCGGTCCTATCTGAAACCACAGAGAAGTTTTTTATCTAAAAATGGAAAATATGAAAACGTTATCTGGCTTTAGACAGACAAGGTAAAGCTGGTTTTTCCCCAATTCATTAAAAAATTTACCAGAACTCCAGAAATCCTAACTTTTTCGCAACTCAGACACCTTTCGTGGAATGTGTTTGCGGAATGCTGTGTGCTTCGTGAGGACGTTTTTATATAATTTCATTTACGAGGACTTGTTAAGTGCCCTTACAGATAACCGCCTTGTCCCCTATAAATTTGCTGTACAGATGATATTATGGCTTTTGATGCATGTACAATATCTAGTGAAAAAGTGTATGTTGGAATTTCTGTGAAGCTTACTGCTGAACCAATCCAATAATTTAAATTTGTGAAGTTACATGGATGCAGAAAAAAAAAGAATTGTAGTGGTGAAAATGTGTCATCTGGAGAGATGGGGATTCAGATTGCGATCTAGCAGTTTTTCCAGGCAAACCAGGTAAAAAATTAATTGGTCATGTACTAAAAATCTTGAATAAGCAAAAAATTATTGCTCTCTTTGTTGAAACTTCAGGCGATGCCTTTCTCTTTAAAACTACGCTTTTGTTACTCTCACTGATTATTACTAACTTTTCCTACGAACTGTAAATGCTGCGCGTATCAGTAAGAGGTATTCACCAGAAAGTAAACAGCTGTTTGGACAGCTTCCGAAGAGTTAACACATAAACTTCGAAAAAGCGGTGGATTCCAACTGGGTGTTTGGATGGGAGTAGCTTAGGATCGAAGGGCCCGATGCAGCAACGCCTGACATGTGCAGGTTCATTCCAGTAATATCACTAACGTAAGATGCATTCACCGATTGCTTTGACGACTTCGACATTCTTGGCACTAATGCTAGAAGTGAAAAGTACCATCTGTATGGTAGTATCATTCTGCGGTTCTGCGCCATGATCGACAGTGGCCCCGAGATTTTCGTATATCTCGCCACCCCCACCAGGCACTTGCACCGCTAAAAAAAAGATATTGGTAAAAACTGTACACCATCAAGAAGTTAAAACGGCCTTCATTTTTTTCAGCATAAAAAGTGCAGACACCGCTGGAGGTGTTCTAAATGGTAGTACATGAGACAACGGGTATCGGCTTGTAAGCGTATCACTGGCTTTTTTGAAAAACTCTCTCCCGAATGCTGCTTGCAATGAAAGTGGAAACCTCCCTGATTTCGCACCAATTTGCCCTGTTAGGCAAAACTGCTAATCATTGGGGTTGACTTTCTGCCTTGGTAAGACTGCGTAATGATTTGAACTTAAGGTACCAACGCTATAGTAGCAACAAGCTAGCCATCTTCGGCTGTCATCACGGAAGACAGTATTTTGTGTGGAAAATCCAAGCCTAACCCACTAGTACAAGAGACAGAGGTAATCAGAAAACCCAGGAGGTATGGCGATGGCAAACTTTCCCTGGCAAGGCTACCGATAGCTTTCATTTCCAGGAGTTGCTTAGAAGCGAAGTGGCGTCAGTTATGTCAGTATGTGTCGTAGAAGTCCCGCGAAAATTTGGTAGATGTTAAAAGGCGTAATGCAGAAAGTGTAGGAACAAGACAGTATAAAATGCTTGTGCTAGGATGCGAATTTACAAGTGCTTCGGCGGATGCGAGGGTTATAAGTGTTGGTGACGGAGAAGTCTAGTCGATCT